TGTTTGTTCTTCTGTCCTGTAACTCAACTCAGCTCTCCATGCCTCTCATCCCCTGCAAAAGCCCCCTCTGTCTTTATTATCCACAGGTAATAAAGACAAGGACATGACACTGCTAGAGGAAGGCTTCCCAGCCTTCTCACTGCTTAGTGCAAAGCTACTGTACAGCCATGATGCAAGCTGAGTGTATTCAGAGGCATGTAAGAGAGAGAGACCTGATCGCCCTGTACAGCTACCTGAAAGGAGGCTGTAGTGAGGAGGGGGTCGGCCTCTTCTCCCTGGTAACAGATGATAGGATGAGGGGGAATGGTTTGAAGCTGCGCCAGGGCAGGTTTAGGTTAGATATTAGGAAAAACTTCTTCACTGAAAGGGTTGTCAGGCTCTGGAATGGGCTGCCCAGGGAGGTGGTAGAGTCCCCATCCTTGGAGGTATTTAAAAGAAGGAGAGATGAGGTGCTTAGGGACATGGTTTAGTGGTCGGGTGGCAGGGTTAGGTTAAAGGTTGGACTCAATGATCTTAAAGGTCTTTTCCAACCAAAGCGATTCTATGATTCTATTCTAAGAGCAAGATGTTTGTGCAGCAGGAAGCTGAGCTGAGCTTGCTTAGGGTGGGGAGAAGGTGATTAGTGATACGGGCATGTGTCCACTCACCCACATCAACACACCGGCCTGTTGCCGTGGCATGTGCTGAACCCCTCCTTGTGTGGGGTGCTCTACTCGCAGCACAGGTGAGTAAGCAGCTGTACCCTTGGCAGTGACATGGGTTTGCACGGCCACTGCAGCTTGACCTTGTTATTTAAAACCCATAGATAGTTGCCATGCCAACACGATACCATATACTGTATTTGCACATGCCCATCAAAAAAAGACCCTTGTTACACCCTTGTATTAAACCAGGCTGTAAATCTGCACATGCAAACATATACACATATGTGTGTGTATATGTATATATACACATACACACACACATAAATAGAGGAATTAGTTGAGGCATTAAAAGAAGCCCTTTCTTCCCAAGAATGTTAGTGACTTTAACTTCGTAGCATAGCTAAATAATTGGTATGGGGAGAGTGCGGTTTAGAAGAGTCTGACTCAGCTTCACGTTGTAAATCTAGTTTTACCACTGCCTTTCTGTGTGACCTGAGAGGAGTTCTCACCTTCCCTCACCCATAGTGCCTTTTACTTAAAAAGAGGTATAATAATAACTGCTCAGTCCCAGGCTGAGAGTGGAGAGAAGTTCACACTGCATAGTGCTTGTAGAGGTCCCCTGAGCAAGTATCTCTGGTGAAGGGCACTGCAGCATGATAATAATTGTATTGCCAATATGCTGTCGGGAAAGATGGTTTACAGTGACCTTCTAAGGAGCTTTTCTGTAACTATCTGATTTTGTTTATGTTGCATGGGGTTGATGGAAGGTCACTGCTCTAGACATGGAGGAATGGATTATTTGAATTAGTCAATGGTAATTGTATTAAAGTGAGAAGCCACATAATGCAGAACAATGAAGTCCTCACAAAATGCACAAACGAACATAACTCATTTGTTCTCAAGTATAACATATATTAAAAATACCACTTCTCCCTATGTAGATATGTTTGGGTTCTGGGGATGTTGGAGAAGAATGTCTATATTAAACATCTGGTCTGCTTTCGGGTACTTTGATCAGCATCTGCAGGTGGTTGAGTTCTCAAGGTTGGCCAGAAGAGCACCTGAGGTTGAGAGATAAGATAGAGGTCAGCTGCTTTTGTATAATTACATATTCTACTTGGACAGGTAGGAAGGTACCTTTCCATTCAGCAGTTTTCATGAAAGATAAAGGTTTTGTGATGGCACAGCAGTCGGGCAGAATAGGAAGGGCTGCAGATAAACTAGGATTTTAGGCTACGGGGATTATAAAATACTGCAGTGCTGCAGGCTGAGATTTATCAGCTACTAAGTCCTGGTTCCTATTTGCCTTTGCTAAAATCCTCTTGAAGGGTGACAGTGTTCATGAACATTAAAACTGTAAGCAAGCAAAGTACAGAAGTGTACTTATTACAGGAGAAATGGAACAAAAAAATGGGGAAGATTACAGTGGAAACCATGTCACGGTGAATAAGGAATCAGGCTTCAGTCTTGGGGAGAACTGGCATCCAGCCTAGTTTAAATCAGACATTAGATTTTTTTTTTTTTTTCTTTTTAGACTTGATCCTGGATTGCTTTCTGTCACCTCATATCCTTTTACGGTCAGTAGTACTGTACCTATGCATATTTATTAGATTTAAACATATTTTGCAAGTCACCTTCACAACAACTTCTTTTCCTGGAAAAACTGGTTGGTTATGTGGAGACTGAATTTGCAAGTCTAATCTCTGGTGTTTATTAACCCTTATTAGTCTGATTGCTCAATGGACAGATAAGTTTTCAGGCTTATTTGCAATTTAATTTCCTTCCATATATTAATCACAGTCCATACTTCTGTTTAGATTTCATAATCTAGATTCCTTTACACATGAAAATGACCTGCATATTCAGAATCCTGGGAAAGAAACAGTAGTCCTGTTTGAGAGAGAACAGCAGTCCTGCCCTTTGAGAGAGCAAGAATTAATTGTTAGTACTTTTTTCTTTCAGGAAGCCACAGGCATGAGATGAGGAGCAGGTTTATATACCCACAAATACTTTCTTTGCTTTAAGCTCACGCTGAAGCTAGAGTAGAAAAGGCAGATACTGTTTTTCCTCCCCAGACTAGGATGCATCTCTGAACCTGAGCTACTAGCACTCTATTTGCTTGTGGTATTTCCAGACCTGCTGAAGGCCTAGAAAGTGCAGCCACAGAAACACACACAGCTGCTTATTGAGGCAGAGGTTGGTGCACTGGGAGACAGGTTGTTGGAATAAACACAGCTGTGTTTTTTCCATTACACTGTGTTCTCATTTACTGGGCCAGTCAGCCACCTACCTTGTCTGTGCAAAGCTACAGGGGTAAATACATGTCCTTGGGGAATCGCTAGGACTATAGGCTCGACTCTTGAACTTAATCGTGGATAGAGTTCTCCCATGTTTAAATCAAATAAAGCTGTGGTTATAGCTATTACAAGGGATGGTTAGAGCTTATTAATAGTGAGGAATACAACCTGCTATGGAATATACAATCAACTTTTGTAATCAAATGTGTTTTCAGACACCTAATTACTTCCAACTCTCCCATGACAGTCTTGAAGCCCTGCTCCCTGAGTTAGGTTTCAGATAAAACCCATCTGAGTTCCCTGCAGAGGAGACTCTTCCTTTTGAGGAGAAGAAACTTTATCTGCATGGCTGCAACTGAGAAGCTCCTGAACACATCTTGTTCGCATTCCCATGTAAATGTCAGCTCTGGGCAAACACCCACAGCCACAAAATACTACGGTTCAGGCTTTTAGAGGGAACAGTGGCCTTGTTTCCAGGAGAATAGCCTGAAAAACAGAGACTGCCCGCAGACAGCGAGGCCCAAGGGACGAGGCAGCTCCAGGAGCCAGCTCATATTCCAGCACTGGAGCAATGCCCACTGCTGCACTGGATTAAACTCATCTTCACTGCTGGGCTTAGGCTGGCTAATGGGCACCTCTGACCCTGGTTTGCACTTCAAAGAAGTCATAGTTGGAATGACTTTGAAAAGCAGGATTTTCTGTACAGTCACAGGGCTTGTACTGGGCCATCAGAAATATCTGCATTAGATAAATACTGCTGGATCCCTGGTGGTGTGTGGAGCTCCCACCAGGCTCCCAGGCCATAAGAAAACCCTTGTGGCTTTAGCATACACTTGTCACACACCACCAGTACAATGGAAGGACTTGTTCAAGCCACGAGATGTGAGGCTCAGTGGAAAAGTAGCCTTGAGTTATCTAGATGCAAAAGAGAGAATTCAGCACCTGTGGCAATGAACAAAGTTGGGTCCTGTTATCAGCTTGGACTGGTGCCACCAGCAGAGACTGGAATCTGCTGTTTCCCATGTGGCATGTCAGCTGAAGCTGTTTGGACCTGACCTGGGAGTACAATGCTGGGATTATCATCACAACAGGCTTGAGAAGCAGGGCTCCCTTCCGAAAATTCACTATAGTCTTTGCAATGAAACTAATCCGATTGTATCCTCCAATTCCCCTTTTTGCAGCACTGCCTGGGAGGGCCACACACAATACGATCAAATTCGCTTTTCTGGTTTCTCTTGTCTTAGCGAGCATTGTCCTACCACCACTTCCCAGGGTGACTCAGCTTCCCTAGTTCCTAGGTAACCCAATTTTTTTCCCCCCCCAGTTTTTCAGTTAAGCAGAAATTAATTCCACTTCTATGAACCACTGGCCATATTCTGCTCACAGGTACTGATAAAAATGGAGAATTAATCACTTGCCCTCCAGCGCTGGGTGGAACCCCAGCCTCTTCATACCCACAGAGCAGATTTTTATCACGCAGG